TAAAGAGTGTCCGAATTGATACCAATTTACTTTAAAGGGAATGTTTGCAATATAAGTACAATGCTTACAATTTAGGGGCAATCAATGATCGGGTGCTTTCAGTGCACACAGACATTGCTGTACTATTGAATTCGTAAACAACAATCATATCATTAAAACCATTTCAATGTCACTTAAATGGTGTGCTTTCTATGCATTAAATTCTTGTAAATACTTTATAACATGAGTTTATAAAATGCACTCAAAATCTATCCATACTTTCAGTTCATTTCGAACTCAAAGCACTTTTAGTGTACTAAAAATGTTACAAAATGTGAAGAACTTTACACTATGTAAAAAAGATATACTTTTAGCTAAACTATAACTATTTTTATACATATTGCGGACTTGTTTTTAAAATTAATTACAAATTTATTATTTATATATAATTTCCTGTATTGTGTATAACTATTTGAACCAATTTCTTAGCCAAAGATCAATTGATTTATGTCTTAACAGTATATGATTTATAACTTTTCAATCATTCATTATTTTTCTTCATATAATTTTGAATATTAAAGAGTTAAGTAATAAAAACTCATTTTATAAACACATTCTCATGAGTTATAATAAATTATGTTTTTTTGTAAACGCAATGAAAAATTATTTTGTTAAACAAATAGTAAATTTTAACAATTTTTTGTTGCAATTCATGAAAAATTATTTTTTAACCAAAAGTTTTGAAAAAATAAAAACATGTTTAGAGAGAAAAATGCATTTTCAAAGTAAAAGGAAAATAATATTATCGATAGAAAATTTTATTGTCATTCATTTATTTGCAATTCATATATAAACTGCAAAATTTTGATTAAATTNTTGCAATTCATGAAAAATTATTTTTTAACCAAAAGTTTTGAAAATATAAAAACATGTTTAGAGAGAAAAATGCATTTTCAAAGTAAAAGGAAAATAATATTATCGATAGAAAATTTTATTGTCATTCATTTATTTGCAATTCATATATAAACTGCAAAATTTTGATTAAATTAATGAAAAAATTGCAAATTAAGCCTTAAATGAATTTATGAAAATATTTAAAAATGGGGTCTTTTCGGTGAATTATTTCTTAAATGCTTTTACTATAAATTATACACTTTTATAATTAAAATGTGTATAATATTAGCAACAATTAAAATTTTAAAATTTAAGGAAATTGTTGCGATTTTCAGGCTTTAGTTTCTATTAGACTAAAATAATTTCTATTAGAGTTAAGGCCATTAAAAATGTGTGATTAAGTGTTTGATTTGTAGATTAGTTACTGTATACTAAAAATATTAAACATGTATTCAATAAAATTCAAATTCATTTAAATTTGGTTCAAAGGATTGGTTTTTCATTAAAATAAATTGAGATACTATTGAGAGTCCAACAAAATTGATTGGTTTTACAGATAAACAAATGATTGGTAAAGTCAGTCATACCTCACAGAGTTCTCCGATCTTGTATTGTTTCATCAGATCCCTGGCGTCGGAAGAATGTCCGACATCTTCGAAGGATTCGGTGGCGTCTCTTCCGGCCTGTTCTATGAGAACCTCTTCGCCTCCCGGATGCTGTCCATCAATACAATCAACAATTGGTTATAAAGTGTTATCTAATGGTATGGTATGAGTGGTTACCTCTTCGAGGAATTTGGTCACATCGTAGACCCCGTCGTGGATCAGAAGCCAAACGGATTTCTTTTCATTATGTTTGGACACTTCCTCCAAAGTAAAAGTCTTAGTTTCAGCCATTGGTGGTAACACTACAGTAGTTCACGTGCTTTGGGATCTTCGGATCAAATAAACCAAACGATTCAATAGTAATGAGTCGACTGAAAGGCAAAAACCAAATTAAAAATAATTTAATCATAAAATTGTGATAAAAACTAAACAAATGATAAGAAATGTCTGTTTTCTACGAAATAATGTGGAAATCAATTCACTTAATACAAGACAAGTGATTGACGTTTGGCTTAACGTTAACTATGGCTACAATTGAAGCACTCGTTTCTAACTATCACTTCATTTAATACACAATTAATGGCAATCTTTTTGGACACAAATTAACCGATAATTACTTACAAAATGTATGGTTTGGTAGAAATGGTTGTAAAGTATAATAATGTGAATTAAAAACAAGTGATTTATAAATACCTGTAATATTGTCTACAAATTGGAGTCACAAATAGGTCTCAACTTTTGTATCGCAAACCAAACGTCAACTCAAATATCGTTACTATAAATACAGTGTTTTGAGCGCCCCTTAAGTACCCCTCAATTGCGTGAAATAGCGCTTTGTATGTCTGGTCTGAGAGTCCTATCCCTCTCTGTAGCCATTCCTCCACCCATTCCTCTGCCTCTCCGTCACTATTAACTCGATGTGTAATAATCTAATTGATTGTCTCCAATGTATTACACGTTTGCGTATTTCACACACTTTTTTTTGTAGGAAATATCCTTGAAATTGAAATTCACGTACAATTCATCGCTTCAATACTTTCTATACTTTTCTCTCTCCAATAGATTTGTCTCAACTTTTTAACTCAAATCTCACTTCTCTTCCATTTATTATTACGTTATTTACAATCAAAACATTTTCTAGAATTTTCTCCTCTCATACGGCTATTCTTCCCCAGCCTTTACACAACTCTATATCACTCTTATTAGAGATATCCGGCAAACCATACAAAATATTTGCAGTATAGCCAATAAACTGACCATGGTCATGCATGTTCAATCAATATTGTACAATTGCACAACTGTGCGTAACCCCAGTTCTATACCTATTATATAAGAACTTATTGTACTCTTAGTGATGAACATGTTTAACAGTAATAGAGTTATGTACTATAGATTTGGATTTTTTGATTACACATGCAATCAATGAATACTTAAGACAAACTCAAATTGCAATCATTTATTGAATATATTGTAAATGTTATTAAATGTTAATCTATTCCGTATTCTACAGTACATTAACGACTCCTTGTCTCGAAATGAATATAACTTTTATGATTAAATCAGTAATTATGTGAAAATGGGTGAAGTCATCAATGTACAAATTATGATCAATTTTAAACATATAAAGTTTTAGGGGTATTTATTTTTGATATTATAAATTATAACAATTCTAGTTATTATTAATAATTTATTATATAATTTAGGATTTGAATAAATATGTTGTATATTTGCCTAATTTATAGATTATTTAAGTTATTTCGTGTATTTGTTGTATAAAAATGTATTTTAAAATTACTAGAATTGCCTGAATATTAGACAACATTGAAAACTAGCGTCGAATTTAACAAAGAGCTTAACCAATGGCTTATTTGCTATTATTGTTATACTACTGTTGTATGTGATCCAGTATTTCATGGATTGATCTCATTTTATCTTCATATAAATGAAGACTAACCCCAAACCTGTATTACTTTATAAATGATAATCGATTCGATCTATTATTAGGTAATTACTATAAAGTGTTCTTTAATTACATACAAATCATAACTTCCAGTAAATCGAGTTTTTATGTCACAATTAGTAATCATTTTTTTAAAGCCTTATTTTAAAACTCATTGTCTCTTAATTTTATTTCAAAAGTACATGTGTTTAATTATTTTCACAAATATCTGTAAAATACTTAACTATTTTAGTGTTTATCAATTGTATAGAAATATAAATAAATTATAGTTTTCGTTAGGGATTCTGTACATAAACTAAAATAATAAAAGTTTGGAAATTTATTTAAATGTTCTGGGTGGTATTATACTTTTCAATTAGCTATTACAATGATGCTAAATGACATTGTTGTAAACTAGTACAAAGTCAATTATATACACAATTGGTTGCAATTTAAGAATCAATAGTAAAACTTTCGTTTTAATAATACTGTATTTTTATTTTCCACAATAATATTCTCGTCAGTAATATATTGAATGAATTGACTCATAGAAAGTGTGACAACAAATGCAAATGTTTCGCAATTCAGGTATAAGTTATATAAAAGTTTGTTAAAGAGTGCATCAATTGTTGAGAAATTAAGGTAAATATTTTAAAGTTTGGGTCAATCAAAGAAAATGTGTGCACTTCTAAACAGGAGCAACAATTTGAAGCAAATAAGTCATTGCTTTTGCTTTTAAATTGTAAGCGATTATTGCATTCAACAAATAACCCTTATATAAGTGTTTGGTATATTTCTTTGTCCAATTGATTCACACATATTGTCATTTCATTTCAATTAAACACTTTTCAAACTTATCATAAGTTCTAATAATGTTAAGTGAATTGTTTAGATTGGAAATACAGTACGACATGTTATACTGTATGTAATGGTAGCGCATGTGCGGACACAGACAGTACTCTTTAAAACCCACACATGTATAACAAAACAAGGGATCAATTGAAGTGATCCACTGGTGAAGTGCACTCTCTTCGCAATCATGTC